GGGCGGATCTCCTGGGAAACACACTTTTATGGCACCACTGCCTCTGGTCATCCACTCCTAGGGGTTGGCCAGCTTGGAGAGCCAGCTTGGCTGAGGGTTGGTCTGGTGAAGTGGAGCCTCCCACCCAGGAACCTGCAGACTCTGACACCTGGAAGGGAAATCCAATCAGCCTTTCCCAGACAGAGTCCAGATGTGAGGATTGCCTTCTCTGGGCCTCAGATTCCCCACTTGAGTTCCAAGGACTCTAGCTTCTACCCTCTGGCCCAAGCTTGTCCTCTGAGCCCTAGTCAGCCTAGAGGACCAGGACTACATCTTCTGTGGACAGAGACACCACAGGGGGTGCTGGAAGTAGGAGTGGGGGGACATACAAGGTTCCTATAGGGAAGTGGAGCTCTCACCAAAGATGGGGTCTGCACTCAATGTGTGTGTCCTGGTTCTGTCACCACTTGCTGGGTGACCCCGTGCAATTCCCCCCCCCCAGGGGCCTCAGTTTCCCCATCTGTTCTATGGGGATGATATGCCCTACATATATACTTGGGACTCAGATGTGTGAGTCAGTTGCAACGTTTCTTAAGCATGGTCCTGGGGCCACCTGCGACAGAACCACCCAGTTCAGATTCCTGGGCCCCATCCTAGGCTCACGGGATCAGAATCTCTGGAAATGGAGCCTGAGAATCTGCATTTGTACAAGCATCCAGGTGATTCTTATACATAATTGGAGAAGCTACTGATAATATATTGTGAGCTCTTTGTAAAAGGTAAAAACCTCGACTTTTTTTTTTAATCCACAGCAGCCTTTTAATAAATACAAATCTCTTGTTCCCTTCCTCCATTAAGGACACACACCCCCAACTGAAAGTCACTCTGCCTTTCAGATGGCCACTTGCCAAGAAGATTTCATCAACCTTTACTGTCTGTAGTTTGTATTCCAAAACAATACGTATTATCTTTCCATTTTTCCAATATAGATTTTGAGATCAGCTATGCTTTTTCAAACTGTACACACACTCACACAGTTTAGAATTCCAGCCGTGGCTTCCTCTCAGACTACAATCCTTTTCTGCTGGGGAGCAGTTTTTCCAGAGAAGGCCTACGAAGGCAAGGCCCTGGACAGAGGCAGGTCCGGCCCACTCCTCATCAGAATCATTGAGTCATGACTGACCCCTAGTGGTGGCCTCTCTGTTAACTGTGTCAGCCCCAGGTCTGGGATGTGACCCCCAACCGTGTCCCAGAAGCTTCCACTCATTCTGGACCACCCCTTTCATGTGGGAGTGAGAGGCCTGTCTCTTGTCTTCTGAACCTGGCAGGCCTCACAGGCATAAAGCAGCAGACTGGAAAGCCTAAACATGTGTTGTTCTAGGCTTTTTTCCCTCCTTTTTCGGGGGGCGGGAGTGCATTCCAGCGCCAGCAGCTCTGGTGGTCATTCCCACTCCAGCCCACACACTCACACATACAAGTACAAACGCAGGCGCAGGCATGAGCACACCCTTGACTCTGGACACCAGTATGGCCTCTGCAGGGCCTGCCTCCTTAAGGGAAGTTAACAAGGGCAGGAAAGAAGGCATGGGCTGGGGGGAGGGCCTCTATCTGAAAGAAGCTCCCAGACCTGGCTCTGCCACTGACTTGCTAGGGCTCCTTGAGTAAGTTCCTTCCCTGAGAGGGTTGGACTAAGGTTTTCAGAACCTCTAACTCTGGAGCCCATAGCTGGTCCTCAAGATGGGCTAGGGTCCCTTGGGGCCAGCTGAATGCCAGAGAGACAGGACAGGCCCAAAGGAGAGCAATGTGAGTGTCCAGGTGGGCTCAGAGCCAGAACACAAGCCCACACAACCTGCAGAGCAGCCCTGGCCTCTCAGGAACCCAGCTGGACCAGCCTCCTGGGCTGCAGAGATGTGGGATCCCGCCTCCCCCAGCACTGCAGGGCTGGGGGCCAGGAGCTGCAGATTCTGACCCCAGAGCTGCCCCAGACATGCCAGATGGGCTTGGGCAAGTCACACCCCTCTTTATGAAATGACGAGTCAGCCCAAATATCTATACTAAAGAGGGGCTGTGGGAGGGACCCAGCTACAGCCTGGGGCTACAGACTGGCTTCCAGGGTACTCCAGCAGCTGGCCTCTGGGAGGAGGTCCAGGGGATGAGATGCAGGGCTCAGAATGTAGGCCAAGCATCCAGAGGACCCACTCTGGACAGCCCGGGGCAGTCTGGGGGAGGGACAGCAGGCAGCAGGTGCCCTGGGAGCATCTTTCACAAGGCACTAAATATTGCATCTGCTCCAGATAGGCAGCGAGTTGGAAAGTGCATGGAGCAGGCAGGGTTGTGACTGCTCCTCGTGGCCTTGTGTCCAGCCCAGCACCCACCCAGGAATTTACCTCAGACTTGCTTACTTGGGGCAATTCCTGCTCCGGGCCCTCTGGCCCACCCAGAGGGGAGGGTTTAGTAAGACACGGTGAACTGGCCCTTCAGGGGAGGATGTAATCCGAGTCCTGGGCCTGGTGAGCCTTCAGCCCCACCCCCAGCTCCTCAGCCTCCCTATTCCCTTATTCTTCTCTCACACCATTTCCTCTGCATACCCTCAGCCCTTTCCCTGCTGCTGGGCTCCAAGGATACTGGGTCAGGTATCCTTGACCTTCCTCTGAGTCTCCCTCTTCCCGAGGTGCCTCCCCACACCCACACCTGACACATTCTCCCTGAAGACACCAGAGTAAACAAGCTCGAGTCCCTGAACCTCACCTTCACTCCCAGACATGTGAAGGAGATGGGGCAAAGACCCAAGTACCACTTGGCAAGAGATGTGGGGTGTGAAGAGGGGCAGATCTGGGGCTGTGGGAGCTCAGGGGACTCACGGCGAGGTCAGGATCCCTGCAGGATGCTGCGTTGCTGGGTCTTGAATATGACTCTGAGCCCAGACCTCTCCTTTAAGCTCCAGACCAGGAGCCAATTGCCGGCTGGACTCCACCATTTGGCGTCTCAAAGGCACCTTGCACTCTGTAGGTCCAAGCCTGAACCCAGGGAATCCCCCCTAGCCCATCCTGTTCTCTTAGTGAAAGCACCACCATTCCCCCAGCTCTGCACACAAAACCCACGTTTGAGTGACCTCTCCCCCACTACACTGGAAGCTCTCCGAGGCCGGAGCCATTTCTGGTTTCTTGCACAAGACAGACACACAGATGTTTGATGGCCAGTGGCCTGGGGGCAGTCGTGACAGGAGAAAGAGTGTGCTCAAAGACTTACGAGTGAGACAGTGAAGGCTACGTGAGGAAAGGAAAACAGCAGGGTATGGGCAGAACGTGAGTGTCTGGGCATAGAGGTGGAGAGGCGAGGAAAGATCGGGTCAAGGAAGATAAGCTGGTGCGGGGGCAAAGGGATCTGGATCTGGGTTTGAACTCTGCCTACAGCTCTGAGAGGCTGCGGGCAGGGAAGGGCTCTGGTGCAGTTTGCTGTAGGAAGACCACTCTGGAACTGCATGGTACATGATGGCAGGGGCAGAGTTGGGGTGGGGAGACCAGCAAGGAGGCTACTGGATGAGCCCAGGGCAGGGTGGTGAGCCAGAACCAGGGCTGGAGGGGTGGAGGTGGGGGGATAGACTGAGATACTTGGAAAATAGAATAGACAGAGCTGGGTAGCCACTTGGCTGAACCAAGAGAGGGGTCAGGAATAGACTCCCATGTTCTGGACTAGGTGTCTAGAGCATGGGGTGCCATTCATTGCTAGAGGGGACAGGAGGATGAAGATGTAGGGCGTGGGAGGAGAGAGCTGAGCTCTGTCCTGGATATATTTAATTTGAAGTCCCCAAGGAGTGGCAGGCCTGCCAGCACCTTAGCTGCTTGAGCTGGCCCTGAGGCCACCTGCGCTCCCTGGCCCTCGCAGCTCTCCCCTTCATGGTGATCAGCTGCAGAGGGCCCAGCAGATCTGACTATGTGTTTTCCCAGGGGTCTGCCTTGTGGCCAATGCTGAGGAGAAGCTCATGGATGACCTTCTGAACAAAACCCGCTACAACAACCTGATCCGCCCAGCCACCAGCTCCTCCCAGCTCATCTCTATCCAGCTGCAGCTCTCCCTAGCCCAGCTCATCAGCGTGGTAGGTGCAGGGTCAGCTGTGCTTCAGAGCTCAGGAGCAGAGGCATGGTGGGTCTTCGGGGCCCCGGCCAGGTCTTGGGAAAAGGAGTGGCCATTCATTGTGCAGGGCTGGGAGTGACTTGGGTTTTACTTCTGGCATTGCCCAGATTTCTGGACAAGGTCCCAGATTATTTATCTGATCTTTTTCCATATCCAGACATTAAGGAATTTGCCTAAACTCTGAGGGCCCTGACCCTGCCTGTACGTTATGATTCTTTCATTCCAAAAATGCTGTCTGTGCCTTTGTACATACCCTTCTCTTTGCTTGGGATGTCCTGCCCACTTTGTGCACACTAGTTCCACAGTTTGGAGCGACCTGCAAATCCGTGATCTCAATAGCGATTAAAATGCTTTGGCTTCAAGTAACAGGACATCTAACTACGAGTGGCTAAAACAATAAGGACATCTGTTATATCACATAGCAAGGGAGCAGGCCAGTAGCTTCAGTGTTGGTCAGTGCAATAATTCGGGATTCTAGGTTGTTGTCAGTGATGTCAGGACTCTGCGATTCTCTTGTTTTCCCCCCATGATCATAAGGTGGCGGCCACAGCTCCAAACATAAAATCCTCACATGACAATGTCTGTGGCAGGAAATGGCAAGTCCTTTCTTGAGTCCCTTTTCGAGCATGAGGAAAACTTTCCAGAGACCTGCCCTCTAGGCAACTCCTATACTCGGTGGCCAGGGCTACAGCTCATACCTAAGCCTTAACTAACACTGGTTGGAGGAATGGAATTACCATGATTGGCTTAGACTTATCAATACATGGCAAAAGGCTAGAGAAGGGCCCATGAAGTTCATGAGTATCCAGTATCTAACCAAGTCATGGTTTTGTTAACAAAGAAGTGAGAGGGAATGACCATTGGGTAGGCAGCCAGTGAGCCTGCCATAGACAGGTGGGCCTCCAACATGGCCATAAGCTTCTCCTCCTTGTCCTCACAGCCCTACCCTATTATCTCCACCAGTCTGCTCAAGAGATGACCTCACATACCCCCTACTTGTTGGGGGAGATAGGAACTAGGTTAGGGGAACTGATGGGTTCAGAGGCCCAGGTGTAGGGGCAGAACTAGAGGCAGCTGCTACACCAGTCTAACCAAGTGGGTGAGCGTCGGGACCACCGAGGGCAGCAGCTGCAGGTATGGAAAGGAGGAATGGATTACAGAGCTCATAAGTAGGGTTGTTAGGTCTTGATGTGTGGATGTGGGGCAGGGGTAGGGGGTGCTGAGGAAGCCTGAGCTGCCAGAGTTCCCCTTCTCCCCTCTGCTGTCTCTGAGTTGGAGGTGTCTGAGGGAACCATGGCCCATTGTTAACCTTCCTGTGTGGCCCTTCCCACGTTACCCCACCCACAGGGCTGGAACCCTGCCCCTGGAAGCAGCTCTGAGGGGAGCGTGCCCATGAGGAGTGTGTAGGGTGCTGTGTCCAGCTATGGGGAAAGAGAGAATCAAGGTGGCCGAACATCCTCTGGTCAGGTGGCTGCCTTCTTACCCACTGCCTCTCTCCCTACCACAGTTGGCTGCCACAAACCCAGCCCCTCCGACCTATGGCCCTCAAGAAGGCTTTGGCCAAATTAATGGCTGGCTCCCTCCCCTGGGAGGAAGCACAGCCCAAGAATGGGGGAAGGATGAAGAGCTTTGTGCTCCCTGTCCCTCTCCCCTCTGCAAGCCAACTGGAAAGAATAAGGGCTTCTGGCCAGGCCTTAGCCAGACTGGTTTCTGAGTGTTATTGTCCAGCCAAAGGCTTTTTGCTTAATGGGGTGAGCCCAGCTGCTACCCTGCAGCTGCCGCCCTGGTGAACGTGCAGGTGGCTCTGGCCATGCTTCCAGGCTCAGGCTGCCCCTGCCAGATCTGCTGTGTGGGTCTTGTGAGGTAATAGAAGTTACCAGAAGGAGGAGGGGCACACCCTCCTGCCCCCACCCCTGTGACTACCACTGTGTGCTGTTATAATCCTGAAAGCTGTGCACAGAACAACTATTAGGTTTTCAGGGTCTTTTTTGTTTCTATACGTGGGAGGATAGTGGGTTATGGACATGACCAGTTTAAAGATGGAAGTTTCTAGGGAGCAGGCAAGGAGTTTGTGCTGGATAAAGCAAACAGGCCTTCAGAGGCCGGCCCGGTGGCGCAAGTGGTTAAGTGTGCGTGCTCCGCTGCGGTGGTCCGGGGTTCACCGGTTTGGATCCCGGGCGCGCACAGACGCACTGCTTGTCAATTCATGCTGTGGCGGCGTCCCATATAAAGTGGAGGAAGATGGGCATGGATGTCAGCCCAGGGCCAGTCTTCCTTAGCAAAAAAAGAGGAGGATTGGCAGATGTTAGCTCAGGGCCGATCTTCCTCGCACATACACAAAAAAAGCAAACAGGCCTTCAGAAGTGGCTCTTTGGGAAGGCCAGGGTCTTGAACCAATGTCCTCAGGCATGTTCAGCAGCTGCTGGGGGAAGTGAGGGGAGTGAGGGACAGGACTAAGGCACAGGGAACTTTCTGGGTGATAGAAATGTCCTGTAGCTGGAAAGGAGGTGGGTTACATGGTAAAGCATTTGTTAAAACTGACCAAACTGTATGCTTAAGATCTATGCATTTTACTGTATATAAATTATACCTCAACTCAAAACATTTTTTTAAAGACAGATGAATGTTTTCAACTTTCAGTAATGGCAGAGTAGCTTGTTGCAGATTAACTTTTCCATAAGAACAATTAGAAAAGCTGGTCACAGATGCCCTCCTTCTCCAAAAAAGAAAAAATCTGTTTGATAGTCTTGGAGAGCTCAGCCAGGACTTGAGGGACCAGGTTCCAGGAGGTGACCTCGACAGTCTGTGGTGCTTTCCCCCACATTTGATGATTGGTAAACAGTAGAGGGCCAAGGAGCTAAGGAGCTGAGCACAAAGTGGTGGCTAAGAGGTTGGGAAGCCAGACTGAACGCTCGGCACTCACATATTGGAGGGTTGGGTAACACATATGGAGTTTGAGCCCCACTAGGGAGACGGGGCCTTGGTGGAGACCTTGGAAGGACCACCCCTAAGAGTAAAAATGAATCAAAAATAGACCAGCCCTCACATGAAGTAAAACCTGCTTTGAACCAGCTCAGTCATAGACTACATCAGGGTGATCTATTCCTACTCTGTCTGCCATAAAGCCCAAGTCAGTACTCCATGGAGGCAGGTAAAGTCAGATAAAAGTTTGCTAGGCCTGCAATAAAACAAGACAAAATAAGAAAAGACAAAGAGAAAAAAGAAGACAGTGGAAACAGACACAGATGATTCAGATATTGGGGTCATCAGACATAGACTTTACAATAACTGCCAATAAGATGGTAAGTTTTATGTTGTGTGTATTTTACCACCATTAAAAATAAACAAATAAATTTCTTAAAAGGAAAATAATAACCATTAATATGTTCAAGAAAATTATAATGATGGAGAATTACAAATTCATTGGTGGTTTAACAACAGACTGGTCATAGCAGAAGAGAAGGTTAATGAACTGGAAGAAAGGTCAATAGAAAATATCTAGACAGGGGCCGGCCCCATGGCATAGCAGTTAAGTGCACGCGCTCCGCTGCTGGTGGCCCGGGTTCAGATCCTGGACACACACCCGGGTGTGCACCGACGCACCGCTTGTCAGGCCATGCTGTGGTGGTGTCCCACATAAAGTGGAGGAAGATTGGCACAGATGTTAGCTCAGGGCCAGTCTTCCTCAGCAAAAAAAAAAAAAGAAGAAAGAAAAAAAAGAGGAGGATTGGCATGGATGTTAGCTCAGGGCTGATCTTCCTCAAAAAAAAAAAAAAAGGAAATATCTAGACAAATGATAGGGAGAAAAAAGGATGGAAAATACAGAAAAGAAGATAATGTGGTGCATGATAAAAAGGTCAGATCTAAAATATATATTTGGAGTTGCATAAGGAGTGGAAATGAAGAATAAGACAGAAGCAATATTGGAAGTGATACTGGCTGAGAATTTCCAAAACTGACTAAAGACATGAAGCTACAGATTCAAGAGGCTCCATGAAGCCCATGAGGGATAAATGCAAAGAAAATCATCCCAGGCACATCATACTCAAACTCCTGACAACCAAAGACAAAGACAATCTTAAAAGCAGTCATGGCGGGAGGGGGGGGGCTGGGGGAGGGAGGGTGGCACAGGAGGACGGAGACAGGAGCAACAATAAAGCTAACTGCTGAAAATGGAAGCCAGAAAATCAAATGACATTTTAAAAGGCTCTAAGAAAAAAACTGCAAAACTAGAAGCAGACACCCAGTGAAAATATACTTTAAAAAGGAAGGTTAAATAAAGATGTTTTCACACCAAAAAATAGAGAATTTAACACAAGAAGACCCAATACTAAAGGAAATATTAAAGGATGTTCTTTAACCATAATGAACATCATCCCAGATGGAAACACAGAAATGTAGGAAAGAATGAAGCACAACAGAAAGGGTAAATATATTGGTGAATCTGCATTGGTATTGGCAGTATAAAACAATAAAAATATCTTGCAAGGTTTTAATTATATGTAGAATTAAATACATGACAACAATAGTCCAAAAGTCAGGAGGGGGGTAGATGAAGTTGAAATGTTCTAAAGTTCTTGCCTTGTTCTGGAAGTGGTAAAAGTACTAATTTATGTTAGATTCTAAAAAGTCAAGTACATGCATATTGTAGTCTCCATATCTACCCTCCCGTCTCCAGGGTAACTACTAAAAGAAGAGTCACATTAATATGGGGAGAAATGGAATAATAAAGTGATTAATCCAAAACACGGCAAGAAAAGGGAATAAACAGAAAACAGATGGTAGGTTTAAACCCAAATATATCAGTAGCTACATTGAATGTAAATGGCCTAAATACTCTAATTAAAACAAGACAACTGGCATGCATCCTTCTCTCTCCTCTTCCCACCTACCACTCAACAGCCTGGAATGTGGACGTAATGGCTGGAGCTTCAGCAGTCGTCTTGGACTAGACAGATGAGGGCCACACTGCAGGTGTGGTAGACAACAAAGCTGGAAGGAAGCTGGGTCCCTAGGGACTCTTTGGAGCAGAAGCACTATACATGTCCAAACCATTGCAGGAGACAGAAATAAACTTAGACTTCATTTAAGCCAGTGTTGCTTTGGCTCTCTGTTACTGGCAGCTGAACCTTATCCTACTGATACGCTTACCTAGTTGAGGGTTCAGGAAAGTTTCCTTGAGGAAGTGATGCCCAAGCTGAAATCAGGATGCTGGAATTTATCTTGGTGGAGAGGAGGGAGGCAAAAATGGTACAGACTGAGAGCACAAGACACATTCAGAGAACTGAAGAAGGCCAGTGGGCTGGGACACAGAAGAAAGGGAGATGGGGAGGTGAGATAAGGCTGGGAGAGTTGGCGAGAACTTGAGGACCCAGTGAAGGAGTTAGATTTTTATTCTATATGTGAAGGAAGCCACAGAAGTGACCTAAGCAGGGATAAGATTGAGGGGGAAGTGGCAGGAACTTTGGAAAGTTTATTCTGGCTGCATAGGAGGGACAGGTGTGTGTGTTTGGGGGTGTGTGCTGCAGAATGGACACAGATCAGTGAGAAGGTCCTATAGTGGTCCAGGCGAGAGACGGATTACGGGGGCCTGGGATATTGTGGTAGGATTCTTGTATTCTTCAGAAAATGTTTACCTGACATTACCAGAAATGTGTACCTGACATGTCCCAGATACCCTCCTAGATACTGTCTGCCGTCAAGGAACTTAGATTCTAGTAGGAGGTGGCAGAAAATACACAAATAAATAGACGGTATCTGGTGGTGATAAGAGCTATGAAGAAAAATAAAGCAGGTGAGAAGCAGAGAGAGGGAGGGGGTGCTATTTATCCAGGCAGGGCAGAGAAGACCTGAAGAAAGTAAGGAAGTCAGCTGTGTGGATTTCCAGGAAGAGGGAACAGCATGTGCAAAGGCAGGAGCAAAGAGATAAGAGTAGCTGAAGTAGAATGAGCAAATGGGAGAGTGTTGAGATGGGAGGTTCTAGAGCTAATGGGGTGGGGGTTGGGAGGGGGGCAGGACTTTGGCTTTTACTTTGCATGAGATGGGGAGGGAGTGAAAGGTTTCAGCAGAATGACATAGTCTGAGGAGCTGAGATTTTAAAAGGATCCCCCTGGCTGCTCTGCAGAGAATAGACTAAGGGCAGGCCAGGGCAGAGCAGGAAGACAAGTTAGGAGGCTACTGCAATGGTCCAGGCGACAGAAGATGGTGGCAGTGGAGATGGAGAGAAGCAGACAAATTTGAGATGCATGTAGAAGATACAATCTACAGGACTTACTGATGGATCAGGGAGCGAGGTGTCAGAGACAACTCCCAGGTTTCTGGCTGTGGAATTGTATGGCTGGGGGTGCCAGTCACTGAGAAGGCAACGCCAATGAAGGACCAGGTGTGGGTGAAGATCATGTGCTTTGTCTCAGATGTGCTGGGTATGAAATACTTTTGAGCCATCCAGGAGATGTTGGGTTGGCAGTTAGTCACATGGTTCCTGGAGCTTAGAGCCTCTTGCGTGATAAAGTGGGGCCTATGCGTGAGGGCTCCTCCTACTCGATGAACTGATAGCCCCGTTTCCCTCCCCAGAATGAGCGAGAACAGATCATGACCACTAACGTATGGCTGAAACAGGTAAGTGCCCTGCAGGGTCCCCAGCCCTGGAGGCGTTTCCTCCGGGCTGCCCCTTGGTGGCAACAGACCTACAAGTGATGAGGCCTTGCCTGTCTGCTCAGGAATGGACTGACTATCGCCTGGCCTGGAACAGCTCCCGCTATGAAGGCGTGAACATCCTAAGGATCCCCGCAAAGCGGGTCTGGCTGCCTGACATCGTGCTTTACAACAAGTGAGTGGCAGATTTGGCCAAGGTGGTGAGGGCCAGGCCAGGCAGTGAGCCCAGCCCCTGGGGGGTCCTCCAGGCTTGAGTCCAGCCATGGGCGCCATCTGTGCCTCACCCAGACTTCCATGCCATGAGGCTGGAAGAGGGGAGCCAGCGGCCTCAGTTACAGATAGGGAATCAGAGGCCCAGAGAGGGGGAGGGGCTTGTTGCCTCACTCAGGCACAGCTGGGACCAAGGCCAGCATCCTGCTGCCTAGTCCATATTCTCTTTTTCACCCTCAGTTGCTTTGTCCGGGTTGGGTGTTGGTAGCACTGACTCATGCATAAATATCTTAGGCAGGTAGAGGGAGCTAAAGAGACTCTTCCTGGGTCGTAGTTACACTGGCAGAAGCACAAAATGATCATGAGTATGTTGTCTACAGATAACAGACCTCAGTTCAAATCTCAGCTGTACTGCTTACTAGTTTTCTGACCTTGAAGAAGTCACTTAACTTCTCTGAGCCTTGGTTTTCCCATCTGTAAAATGAGGATAATAATAAAACCTGTGAGGCTTAAATGAGCTAATCCACGTGAAGCCTTCAGGCTGCTTCATGGCAGGGCTCTCTCCGCAGTTGCCAAGTAAAGCAGGCCTTTTCAGTGAGGGCACAGGGGGTTGGAAGGGTGACAAGTGAGAAGCGGTCCTGAAGGGCTTTTTGGCGAGTTCTGAGAACAGGCTAGGCCTTGTCTATGGATTTCATGATGTTCTCCTCCATGCCCTGCCCCCGACCCCAGCGCGGACGGGACCTACGAGGTGTCTCTCTACACCAATGTGGTGGTGCGCTCCAATGGCAGCATCCTGTGGCTGCCCCCTGCCATCTACAAGAGCGCCTGCAAGATTGAGGTGAAGCACTTCCCCTTCGACCAGCAGAACTGCACCCTCAAGTTTCGCTCCTGGACCTATGACCACACGGAGATCGACATGGTCCTCAAGTTGCCCATGGCCACCATGGATGACTTTACCCCCAGTGGTGAATGGGACATAGTGGCCCTCCCAGGACGAAGGACCGTGAACCCGCAGGACCCCAGCTATGTGGACGTGACTTACGACTTCATCATCAAGCGCAAGCCGCTCTTCTACACCATCAACCTCATCATCCCCTGTGTGCTCATCACCTCGCTGGCCATCCTCGTCTTCTACCTGCCGTCCGACTGTGGCGAGAAGATGACGCTGTGCATCTCTGTGCTGCTGGCGCTCACCGTCTTCTTGCTGCTCATCTCCAAGATCGTGCCGCCAACCTCCCTTGACGTGCCGCTTATTGGCAAATACCTCATGTTCACCATGGTGCTGGTCACCTTCTCCATCGTCACCAGCGTCTGTGTGCTCAACGTGCACCACCGCTCACCAAGCACCCACACCATGGCGCCCTGGGTCAAGCACTGCTTCCTCCACAAGCTGCCCACCTTCCTCTTCATGAAGCGCCCTGACAGCAGCCCCTCCAGGGCCCCCCAGCCCAGCCAGTCTTGCCTGACCAAGTCTGAGGCTGCTGCTGCCACCGCCATGGCCACGGGCCCTGCCAGCTCCTCCAACCTCTACAGGAACTCCATGTACTTTGTGAATCCTGCCTCCGCAGCTCCCAAGTCTCCAGCCGGCTCCAACCCGGCAGGTATCCCCAGGGATTTCCGGCTGAGGTCTTCCGGGAGGTTCCAGCAGGATGTGCAGGAGGCTCTAGAGGGCGTCAGCTTCATCGCCCAGCACATGAAGAGTGAGGATCAAGACCAGAGTGTAAGTTGCTAGCTCAGCCCCTGTCAGCTGGCCAATGGAAGAGGCTCAGATAATATTGCCAGTTTCCCATTTCCCATGGTTAATTCATATGAGACAAGGGCTCTCAAATTCCTTGTTTGAATAAGGAATCCAAAACTGAAATGAGTTTTATTATAGCTTCCTGCATCGGGGGAGAGGAAGGAAGGACCAGGGATCCTTTTTCATTTGTTTTGGGTTCTCAAAAGCAGACCCTGAGATGAAGACCTGGGCAAAGGTAGTTTATTTGAGAAGTGATGCCAGGAAGCACAATGAGGAAGGAGGGAGAGTGAGACAGCTAAAGGAGGAGAGCCAATCTGGGTATTCATGAGCAGCATACTGCTGTGGGCGCTGGGGACCCTCTGAGGACGCCTGAGAACAAGTCTCAGAATCATCCCCCGGGAGGGAGGTGGGAGTATTTACCCATCAGCTCCCATCCCCTGCGAGTGGAGGGTAGCCCTGGGACAGTAACTCCCCCCGCACGCCCTGGTTATGCCAGCAGCTGCGGAGCAAGCACCCTTGGTGCTGGAGAAAGGCCTGGGGCAGAGAAGAGAGGAGATGCAGGCGTCTGCAGTGGGAGGCTGTCAGTGGGCTGGAAAATGACTTCTGCAGCCTTTAGGGACACAGGTTGGCCAGGGCACTGAGGGCGTATGTTCCCATCCCCTTCAAGCTTGCCAAGAAGCCATATAAACACTTATAGCTTTTAGGAGTATAGAAACATCAAGTAAAATAGCATTGCTCCCAGGGTAATAAACTATCAGGTAGGGTGACTATAATTACAGATTTTGAAAAAGAGGTTAATTTAACTTTCACAGGACAAAGCAATGAGTGCTAGAGTTTAGGTGTCTCAAATGACTCCTTTGAACAAACAACACTTCAAAAGACCATTTTATAATGACTAAACACAGAACATGATGGTAACGGTTAGAAATTTTCACACACAGTTCCATACCGGGCAGGAGAACAAGTTCCACAGTCTTGTGAATATTTTTATTTTAACACCTTATCAGGGCCGGCCCCGTGGCTTGGTGGTTAAGTGAGCGCGCTCCACTGCTGGCGACCCGGGTTCGGATCCCGGGCTCGCACCGACGTGCTGCTTCTCCGGCCATGCTGAGGCCGCGTCCCACATACAGCAACTAGAAGGATGTGCAGCTATGACACACAACTATCTACTGGGGCTTTGGGGGGAAAAAATAAATAAAAAAAATCTTTAAAAAAAAAAAAAAAACACCTTATCAGATCAGACTCTTTGAGCAGCTTCTTAAGACAAACATGCAGCTGCATGTGAAAAAGTGGGCATCTCCCTGTTCTTACCTTTCTGCCATTCCTTTTCACCAGCCCCATCCTCAAGGGAAAGCACTGGGATTCCATTAGTTAGCACAGAGAGAAAAGAGCAGCCTGGAAAAGCTCCAGAATGACACTGGGAAAAAGAAAGAAAGATTTGCTAACAAATGGAATATAGGACGCGAGCTCTTCTACACCCTTGCTCCTCAGAGTGTGGTCCTTGGACCAGCAGCACGGGCATCGTCTGAAAGATGGTTAGAAATGCAGCATCTCAGGCTGCCCCAGACCTGCTGACTCAGAATCTGCATCTTCCCCAGATCCCCAAGGGATGCCTAGGCACATTCCAGTTTGAGAAGCACAGCTCGACAAGACTATCAGATTTCGCTTTCTAAAAAAAATTTATTTGATTGTGCTTTCTTTCGTTTAAAACCATCCAGTAGCTCAGCATCACCTAATTCATTGGCTCCCAAATGTTAACAGGCAGCCTGGGGCCCTGCAGAGCAGCCAGGTGGGCAACTTTTCAAACTACAGCCTCGGGGCCACCCATTCTGACTGAGGCAGGATCTCTGTGGGAGGTGTCCAGGAGCCTGCGTCTTTAACCAGATCTCTAGTGGTTTGTGCTCACATGCAGCTTGAGAAGCACTGGTCTCCTGCACGCCTGGCTGAGCTCTCTCCTCTAAAGGTCTCACCCCTCTGTTGGCACTCACAGGTCTCCTGCTGTTTCTAACTCAATTAATTAAAAGCCTCTTATGGGAAGCAGCCAGGCAGGACCCACCATTCTTATAATCGCCAGTGTTCATTGAGCTCGACACATCAGGTGCTCTGCCAGGACCTGACATACACTACTGCTAACCCTCCCAGGAACCCTGTGAAGCGGTGTTTACTCAAACCCCCATTTTACAATGGGGAAAGCGAGGCTTAGTGACTTGCCTAGGGTCACACAGCCGGCTCAGAGCAGAGCCAAGCTCCATACCCTGATCTTTCTGACGTCCTTTAACTTTCTTGCCCTGCACTGAGCACATGGTGGACTTACTGTCTTTCTCATGTCCAGCTGGAAAAAAGAGGCTTTCTTCCCTTCCCGAGAATGTCAGCCCCTAAGCCAGCCCAGGCTGTGCTTCGTATCTGCAGCACTTGCACCCTCTCTGGTGATTAACTGGTCACCATAAATAGCACAAAAATATAAAGAGGGGGAAAAGCACATACACACACCAAAAAAAAACGTCGTTTGAAGTTAGGGCTGTCAAAAGAAACCCAAGAAAGCCGAGGAGAGCTCGGCATGGAGAGCTGTGCAGGGCCTGCTGCGTCGTGGGGACAGGTGGCAATTGTGTTTGGCTGGGGCAGTGGGGGCTGGTTGACACAGGCTTATCCTGGAGGGTAGATGCACGCCATTGACGGGGCTCTGACAAACTGGGTCATTGACGTCAGCTGGCCCGTTGCTGCCCAAATTTCCAACTCCAGAGCCTCTGCCGAGTTCTGATCTGGCCACTCTCCACCAGGGAAAGTGCACAGAGGGTTCCAGATGGGCCAGGTGTGAAAGCAGGCTTGCAGGGAGGCCAGGATACGGGGTCTCTCTCAGAGCATCACCCCCTGGCAAAGGAGATGGTACATCTGTGGTGGCTCCTCTGGAGGCCAGCCAGGTTTCTGCCAACCCCACACCCAGCTCCGAGAAGACCCAAGAGAGAGACCCAGATGATGCAGCAGCAGGAGGCTGGGTCTTAATTACAGGAACTAGCAGACACTGCTGTTAATGGTATTGAGCAAATTAAACAGCAAGACTTCCAGTTGTCCTGCAGGCCCCAGCGCCCCACCCCCACTCAGCTAGGTGCGCCCCAAATCTTCCTTTGGGCATAGCCAGCTCAGGCAGGAGGCTTGGAGTGAGAATAACAGAAGGGGCCTCGTGATCCTCAAGCCTCATCCCCTTTATTTATAATCAATCAGATTTGGTTTTCAAATCACAATGTGTGGTATTAATAACCATTCCTAACCTTTCTGTACAGCCTGTGTTCCCAGTGGCTCTGCGATCCCACGGGGGTCAGGTAGGGGTGGACTGAGGGGCACAGAGATGCCCAGCTGAGAGACCAGCCTCAGACTGAGAACTTGCCACTGTGGGGTCCCTGGCCAGAGAGTGAGGGCCCAACTCAGGGAAGGAGGGAAAGCAGGAAGGACCCAGCACTCAGCACCCATAACCAGCCCCTCTGTCTGCCTGCAGGTCGTTGAGGACTGGAAGTACGTGGCCATGGTGGTTGACCGGCTGTTCCTGTGGGTGTTCGTGGTTGTGTGTGTGCTCGGCACCGTGGGGCTCTTCCTACCTCCTCTCTTCCAGACGCAGACTCCCTCCGAGGGGCCCTAGGCTGCCCTAAGTGTCGGAGGGCCCCCAGGTGTATGGGGTGAGATGATGTGAGCGGCCGGGTGGGCAGTTTGCTGCTTCCTTCTGGGTCACGGCCGACAAGGCCCTAAATAAATATGAGACCATCGGCCATCAACCCCATCAAACAGCCATGGCTGTGGGAGGAGCGAGGATGGGGGGCCTGGACTGAGTTCTCTGAAGGCCTTGGAGGACCCCCAGGAAACTCCAGCAGGAGGGGGCTTCGGACAGTTGAATTCTGGCCGGTTTTCCTTCCCTGCCCCAGGCACCGGGGATAAGGATGAGCATAACAGCAGCACCTACTATGTGCCCGGCATCTTGCCCGCATCCCGGCCTACCTCTCACCCCATCGCTCTCCACTCCCCTTGTCCACGAGGCTCCCTGGCCTTCTTTCAGTCCTTCACACACTCAGAATCCTTTCCAGCTCAGAGCCTTGGCATTTGCTGTACCTTCTACCCAAACGTTCTTCCCCAGGGCCTCCCAAGATCTTCCTACGGCTGCATCATTCAGGCTCCAGGCCTTCCTTTGTTCCAATGTCACCTCCCTGAGAGGGCTTCCCCAATCACCCATTCTAAAGTGTCCTCACCCATGGCCACGTTACCCCGACACCTTCCTCAAGTGCTCCTCGGTGCCTGAAGTTCTTATTTGGTGGCATGTTTATGGTCTACATCTCACCCACTAGAGTGTGAGCTCCGAGAGAGCAGGGACATGGTCCTTCGTGTTCGCTGCAGTATCCCCAGGGCCTAGGACAGAGCTTGGCACACAGTAAGTGCTCAATAAATGTTTGCTGAATGAAATGAATGGCTCCTATTCCTCCTTCAAGTTGAGATGCCCCTCCTCTGAGCAGCCATCCCTGGCTCCCCACCTGAAGGGAATGGCCCTCTCCTCCATGCTCCACAGCCCTGGGCACGTTCTGCTTTGGATCACAGCTGACTTCAGCTGTGTCTCCCCCACAGATGCTCTGATTGGTCCCCCAACATAACTGTCTTTTCTCAGTGCCTGGCACATAGTAGGCACTCAAAACATTTGTGGTATGGAAGAGGACTTTTTTTAAGATTCTATTTTTTTAATTATTATACAATAAAACTGACTTTTTATGTGTAGTTCTATGAGTTTTAACACATGTATAGATTCGTGTAATCAGGATATAGGAGAGACACATCACCCAAAACAGCTCCCTCCCGCTACTCCTCTATGGTCATGCCAACCTCCACCCCTAGCCCCAGGCAACCACTATAGGTTTTCTCCATCACTATAGTTTAGTCTTTTCAAGAAGCCATTAAATGAATCATACAGTATGTAACCTTTAGAGAGTAGCTTCTTTCATTCAGCATAATGCCTTTGAGATTCATCTGAGTTGTTGAGGGTACAAAGAGTGTGTTCTTTTATCTTGCTGAGCAGTATTCATTCCATCCTGTGGAGGTTGAGGCACATTTAGATTGTTGCCAGTTTTTGGCAATTATGAAGAGAGTTGCTATAAACATTCACATATAGCATTTTGTGTGAACAAAAGTTTTCATTTCTTGGGGGCTGGCCCCATGGCCTGGTGGTTAAGTTCAGCGCACTCCGCTTCAGCGGCCCAGGTTCACAGGTTTGGATCCCGGGCACCCACCTACACCACTCATCAGCCATGCTGTGGCAGTGACCCACATACAAAATAGGGGAAGACTGGCCCAGATGTTAGGTCAGGGCTAATCTTCCTCAAGCAAAAAACAGAGGAAAGATTGGTAACAGATGTTAGCTCAGGGTAAATCTTCCTTAGCAAAAAAAAAAAAAAGTTTTCACTTCTCTACATAAATACTCAGGAGTGTGATTGCTGGGTTATATGGGGAGTGTATTTTAACTTATATGAAACTGTCAAACTGTTTTCTGGAGCAGCCATACCATATTGCATTCCCACCAGCAAAGTATGAGAGATCCAGTTGCTCTGTATCCTTGACTGCACTTGGTATTGATAGTATTTTTTATTTTAGCCATTCCAGTGGATGTGAAGTGGTATATATTATCCTTTTAATTTGCTTTTCCCTAATAGCTAGTAATGTTAAGCGTCTTTTCATGTGATTCTTTGTCATCTGTATATCCTTTTTGGTGAAGTATCTCTTTAACTCTTTTGCTAATTTTTTTAATTAGGTTTTAGTTTTCTTACTGCTGAATTTTTAAAAGCAACTTTATTGAGATATAATTTACATATTATAAAAGCACCCATTTAAGGTGTACAATTCATTGAGTTTTAGTAAGTTTATCACCATAATCCAGTTTTAGAACATTTGCACCAGCCCAATAAGATCCCTCATACCTGTCTATTCCTACTTTTGAGTTTTGAGGGGTCTTGATATCTTCTGGATGAAAGCTCTTGGTTGGATGTGTGATCTGCAATATTTTCCAAATGAAGGGCTCTTTGCCAGGAGAATGAGCATGCTCTAAGTGCGGGCCTGAGAGGTAGGCCCCAATTCTTACAAACATTTTATGGGTCCTGCAAAATGTCTCCCTTTTTTTGGTTTGAATGTGGGTAGGCAACCCATTCTGGAAATAATAAAGGCGACTCACTGGTCCTGTGATAAAGGGACCCCAAGGAAGCCTGCAGGTGCCTCACCTGACCCATGGTCGGTGGTCAGAGAGGCCAAGGGGTCCCAGGGCAGCCTGCCTGGCCACTGCATCTTCCCGGGGCACACAGGGGTGCGGATAGGGCGATAGGGCGGGGGCAGACAAGGTTCTGCAGGGGGCCAGGAGCCCGGAAGCGCAGATCTCTCTCTCTGATGGCTCCATTTTGAAACCTCATTTTTTAGTGGTTTTTTCTTTCTTCTTTTGTTTTACTTTTTATCAAGGAACATTTCAAACCTATTCTAAAGTAGAACAGTATAGCAAACCTCCAGGTACTCGTCATTCAGCCTCAACAATTATCAACTCCTGGCTGATACTGTTTTAACTGACTCCAACTCTCCCCCTCCTAAACTAGAATAACTCTCAGAAACACAAATACCATTATCACATCTAAAATATTTAACACTTACTAGCGTCAAAATCTTGAGGCCTCGTTTTGAGGGTGTGTTAGAACCTCTCAGACGGACCAGCGACCAGGCAGCTTAGGGCGCCCACGCCGGGTTGCGGGCGGACCGTCACTCACCCGGGAAGCCAGGGACAAGGACTCGGCCCCTACTCTTCCCGGTGGTCTGCCAGTACCTGTTCGGGTTGGTCCGGCGCGGAGCCGTCCCTGGGCTGCACAGACCACAGACGGAGGGACGAGGCTGCCCAACACCGGGCGCTAGGGGCCGCGCGTCCCTCTGACGGTGCGGGCGCACCGCCCCGCAGCCCACCCGGAGCCTCCGGGAGCCCCAGGGCGGCGGGCGGGGCCGGCGCCGGGATTGGTGGGAAGCCGGGAGGAGCCGGGGCCGGCGCGCCACAGCCCCGCGCGCCCCGCCCTCCGTCCACTCCCGGGGGCCGGCTGCCAGGGAGCCCGGCGGGCCGAGTCTGTCTTCGCTACGGCCGCGGCCGCTCCCGACCGTTCGGGTCCGCTCCGCCTGCCGAGCCCCCCACACCGCCCGCCCCGACCGGCCATGGGCGCCCCCCGGCTCTCGCCGCTCCGGGCGCCGCCACTACTGCTTTTGCTGCTGCTGCTGCCAGGTACGGGCGTCGGGCGAGGGGTGCCGAGGGATGGGCGCCCCGAGCGGGGAGGCGGGGTCCGAAGGGGTTGCCCCCGGGAGCGCAGCGCGGGAGGCGGAGAGAAGGGGCGCCGTTGCTGGGGACTCGCTCCCACCTGGCGGCGAGTTGGGCGGGGGATGCCCTTTTCCCATCGGCTCTCCGCTCCCTTGGAGTCGTTTGGGCGCGTGCCGGGGGGGCGCGAGGAGGGCTCCGGACTGGGGCCCTTCCTTCCCAGGCCCCGGGGTTATGGGTTCGAGTCCTGGCCCTGCCCGTCGCCCTGCTCCGCGCACTGGGTGCCGAACTGGCGCGCCCGGGCCGTGGGTTCCACCATCTGCATCCCGCCCACCTCCTCGTTTTACGAATAGGTGCGGAATCTGAGGCCAGAGAGGGCTCAAGACTCGATCAAAGCCACCTAGGGGACAGAGGAGTCGTTTCGGGGCTTCGGGGGCCTGAGCTGGCGCTTCAGCCTCTCCTCCCTGTCCTTGTGTCTCCGCGCTCCTGGCCGCGTTGCTTTGAGACCCCCTACCCCGGGAGCGTGCCTCCCCGCCTTCTGCCCGGTCTCTGGGAGAAGCCAGTTAAGGAGAAGCCGGCCCTGACCCGCCGCCAGAAGACTCTTCGTGTGGCCTGGGAGTGCTGGAGGATACCAAGGGGCGAGGGATTTGGCAGGGCTGCAGGGGGTCCCTGCGGGGGTTGGGGGGTAGCGGGGAGAGAAGGAGCAGGCAAGAGTCCGTCTCAAGACCTGGAGAAGCTGGGTTGGATTTCACTAACGATTCCCTTCAGCCCCTCCCCTGATTGTCCCCAAATCTGTAAAGTGGGAAGCAGCAGACAGCTGACTCAAGATGCCTGGGGTGGGCCTTATGAACAAAGGGGCTCCCCAGGGATTTCAGAGAGGCAAGAGTGTTTGATCAGGATGTGAAGACAGCATCAGCAGGAACCGTGGGTCACACTCTGAGATCACGGGAGCCGTGTAGGCACCTGGCTTCTGAGAGAGTTGGTGGCCAAACCCCTACAGGATCTGGGGTGGGATGAAGGAGAGACCCAGACCTGCGCTGCAGTCTCCCTCAGGCTGGGAGGCAGAACAGGGGCGCCTAGTTGACCCTGGGTGGCCCTGCCTCTGTGAGTGGACTGGTCGTCTCTCCCTCATGGAAGCAGTGAACGGCTGTACCTAGGCAGGCTGCATTTGTATCACACCCCTGCCCTGCAGTAACAGTGACGGTAAGGATAGTTCTGGAGCTCTTACCACATGCCAGCAGTGAGCTAGGCACCTCGCTCATAACAACCCTATGAGGTGGATACATTTATAATCTGTATTTTTACAGATAAAGAAACAGGTTCAGAGAGATTATGCCGCTTGCCTAAGCTCACAGAGCTCACAAGTAGTTTGTCAGGATTTGCACTGAATCTATCCAAATTCAGAGCCCCGGCTTGTAACCACTATGCTTCTCACTGAATGAGTGTGACCTGGTGGAATCCCTGTCCCTCTAGGTCCTCAGTTTCCCAGTCTGTAACTTGAAGGGGCAGGACTAGTCTGAAAGTGTGGAGTTGCACAGAGTACCCCCAGCAAATGGAGGGGAGGCTGTAGGTGGGTGGTGACCCTGGTGAGGGGAAAAGTGACAGTTTCCCCAGGGTCTGACAGGGCTGCTTCCCTCAGTGGCCAGTGCCTCCGAGGCCGAGCACCGTCTGTTTGAGCGGCTGTTCGAAGATTACAACGAGATCATCCGGCCTGTGGCCAACGTGTCGGACCCAGTCATCATCCAGTTTGAGGTGTCCATGTCTCAGCTAGTGAAGGTGGTGAGTGCCAAAGCCACAGGCTGTGGCCGTGGGGTATGGGGCTTCTGGAAGAGGCTTTCCCAGAACAGCCTTGTTTTTGTAATTCACATGTCTGCTTTAATCTCTCCTCCTAGGATGAAGTAAACCAGATCATGGAGACCAACCTGTGGCTCAAGCAAGTAAGTGACCAGGCCCTGAGCACTGCTGCCCCCTGGTGGTGACTGCTTTATTTGCTGTCTGTAAACCAAGGAGGGCCCCAAGACGGCACATCACTCCCATCGGCCCAGATTGGGGTCCGCTGACTGGCTGGTCTGTCTCTTCCTGGACTTGGGGTCACATGCAATGCTCTACAGTCCCCCTGAAAGGAGTGCAGGGCCCAGCCCCTCAAGTCACAGATGACAGAGTGCAGCCTGGAAGGAGAGACCTTCTTCACGGTCACACAACAAAATGGGGCAGACCTGGGGCTGGAGCCCTGGCCCCCGACTCTAGGGTGTGCCTAAGACCACTTCCTTCCCTTCCTCTTGCCAAAAACTCATCCTTAAGTCAGAATCAGATGCCATTGTCATTGTTCATAGGGTAGGAGCAGGGGCTCTGGATTTTCCTGTACAGATTGAGGCCAAAGAAATCAGCTTCCGTGTGTCCTCCCCAGGGAGGCTCTGTCCAGACCTGGTATGACCCTTCCGCCAGCCCAGCCAACCAAGCGCTCAGCTCACACAGCCTTCCTTGCTAGGAGGCTGGAAAGTTAGATGGGCGTGGTGCCCACTCAACACCCTGTATGGCACAGGTTCCCTCTGGTTGCAGGCTCACCTCTCCCTCCTCAGGTGCTCAGGACTCAGATCTCCCAGCTTCTGCACCCAAACACTTCTTGGGCCCAATGGGATCATGGTTCCTTCCCCAGAACCCTTCAGAGGCCAAGCCTGCTTAACCTGGAGATGGAAGAGGGTTCTGTGTGTCATTAACACCCTGTTATTGGGGCTTGGTGGGGAAAATCTCTGAAAAAGCTCCTGGAGTCAGAGTCCAGAGAGCTCACCATTACACCATGCAGCAGCTCCAGGAGAGCCATCTCAGGGAAGTAAACAGCAGGAGCTTAAGGCATGGACCTGGACCTGGCACTAGAAGTGCCCAGAGGAGACACTAGTGGTCCTTATTCAGTTGACATGGGGCTGGTCTTGCCCACAGTCATGAAGGCAGTGGCTCCCGTAGAGCCAGGAGGTGGCCTGCACACTTAGCCCAGTGCTGTGTCCCCCACGAGCCCCCACATGAGAAACTGGTCCAGCATGGAGGCAGCTCAGTGACACACAGCAGAGGTGGGGAGCTCACCAGGATGGGTGGTGTCAAGAGAAGTAAAACCATGCTGTTCCTCCTGCTGCCTCCTTCTCCCTCCCTGCCTCCTCCCCCAGATCTGGAATGACTACAAGTTGAAGTGGAACCCCTCTGACTATGACGGGGCAGAGTTCATGCGTGTCCCTGCGCAAAAGATCTGGAAGCCAGACATCGTGCTGTATAACAAGTAAGAGGCTGGGTGGCCCACACCCTCTCGGGCTCTCAGCCTGGACTCTGGGTCCTTGGCCCACTGCACTTACAGCCTAGCCTTCCTTGGACCTTTTCCAAGAGGGCTTCATTCATTTGGTTCATTCCATGGGGTATTTATTGAGCATCCACTATATATCAGGTGCTGGAGATAGAGTGGTGCACAAAACGGGTACCTCTCCTGCCTCCAGGAGTTCACCTCACAGCCAGGAAGACAAGCATGAATTATAATATCCAAATATGCAGTTACAAACTGGAGGGAGGGCAAGAAGGGAAACACTATGGGGGTGGGGGGACATCTGTCACCAAGGCCCTCACTAAGACTTGGCCTTCCTTGTAAGTCAGGTCCCAGTCGGGCCCCATGAGGTTAGACCACAGAAGGGCTTCATTCTTCTACTCACCTGAGAGTCAGCCCCTGCCTGACCCTGTACACCTGGTGTACCTGATGCCCCTGTGCACATGCACCTTCCCATTAGTGTCAAGAAGCCTCTCCTCTTTCTCTCTTTCAAAGATTCTTCCTCTGCTAGTCTGATCCTGCACATCGTGGCACCTGCAAAACATGTCTCTTTTTCCTAAGCCCACACAAAGCTGACACTTTCCACATTTAAGCTCTTTAATTAGGCGAACATAAATTTTAATTGATATTTTACAGTACGGACTAGTTTGTCTCTGGGTATTGAAAAACATCATTTTGCACCTGTGCTTTATCTCTAGTGTGAAAATGGTTTAACCATTAAGTATTTTTCAGCAAAACACTTCACATAGAATTAGTCTAATCTGATTTCAAGGAGTAAAAGCATCCTGTGTTTAGATTTTTATGCTGTATTCGTACAAAATGTTTTACTATTAGTATTCGGACTAGAGCAGCTATGTTTTTGGCTGAATCCCACTTTCTGGTCACTGGCTAGAAGAAGGGGGGTCTTTAATCACTCCGAACATGGTCTGTATTTACTTTTTTCCCAAGGAAATAGAGCATTCATAAATATGATTCTTTCGTGCAATTTGTATTGGTAAATTGGTCCTTAAAGAACTGGGACACAAGACAAACTTAACCAGCTTGCAGAATGTGAGCTGTCCTAGAAATCCCCTGGTCCAGAGGCTCTTAGGGAGCTGGGCAGGGTATTGAGAATTTTTGCTAAGCTAGAATTAAGAAAATGGGCAAAAATTTTAATCTTATGATTTGAATTGGATAGTTGTTTTCTTGCTGGCAATCTTGAGTGAACAGCTGGAGGACTTTAGGATGTATGATTTTAACAGTACCGAGAGACATAGTGAAATGCTTCCAACTGGATGCAGAGAAGAGCAAATATCATAAGGAATTTCCTTGGACTCTGAAGCTGAAAGTAACATTAGAGAAAATCATCCAACTCCTCTCTCCTAGTTAGAACTTCAGTTTTCAGGAGCGGTCCTCTGTTGAGAGTTTCTCTTCATTTTGATACACTAGAAACCCCTTTTAGCTTCTTATGCCAAACTTTCTCCTGTGACTTTTTGTTTTCTGAAGTTCATTCTCTAATAGAATCCTCAGAAAGTGCTCATGGACACAAAATACCCTTAGTTCTTACAGGTTCATAGCTCATTATAGCCTTTTTAGATTCTACTTTTACGTCACTTAATTAGATATAAAATCCTTGGCTCATATTTTCCTTCCATGAAAATCTTAAAAATCTTGACTCACTGTGTTCTGGTATGAAGTGTTGCTGTCAAAATCAGATGCCAGTCTACTTTTCTTTTTCTTGTCAAATCGGGTGAGTTTTGGGAGAGAAAGAGAACACTATCAATAAGTATGCCAGGACCACAAGGGTAAACCAGGGTTGTCCCAGGCAAACGGGATGTATAGTCATTTTATTTGTAAGTGGATTGTTCTGTTTGCTTAGGTACCCAAAGGATTTTTTCCTTTGTCCTTAAAGTCAATTTGTTTTACTCTGAACTATGTATATAATAAGCCTTCTTGTATTCCAGGAAAGCTTTTCTTTGAATTATAGTTTTTAAGACTTAGTCTGTTCCATTGCTTTGATTTTTTTCTCCAGGAACTCCATTTTTACATATACTGGAACTTCTTCAGCTATATTCTGTCTATATTATTTTCTCTCCATTCTTCTCTGTTTCTGTTTGGTTCAAAAGAATTTTTTTCTCCTTTCTGTCTTTTATTTCCGTTGCTTCACTTGGAATGTGGCAATTCCAATTGGTGTCTGTTTGTCTTATGTTTCTTCTAGTCTAGTCTTTATTCCTAAAATAATTTTTCTCTTTTCCTAATTCTTTCCTAAGGTATTTCAGTTCTTTATCCTCCTGTTGTTTAGCAAAATTTGTTCTTAACTTTTCTATTTTTTTTTTTAAAGATTTTATTTATCTATTTATTTTCTCCCCAAAGCCCCAGTAGATAGTTGTATGTCATAGCTGCACATCCTTCTAGTTGCTGGACGTGGGACACGGCCTCAGCATGGCCAGAGAAGCGGTGCGTTGGTGCACGCCCGGGATCCGAACCCGGGCCGCCAGTAGCGGAGCGTGCGCACTTAACCGCTAAGCCACGGGGCCGGCCCTTAACTTTTCTATTTCTGATTAAGCTGCTCTTTCACAGTTTCTAAAGATTTCTTAGTTTCTTTTAGCTTAATTTATAATATCAGATTATCGATTTCCTCTGCTCTGTGGTTATATTTTTGTGGTGTGCCCTTACCTGCTTATGTGTTATTCAGGTATTTATTTTTATATTTTTCTTTTGGATAGATGACAGCAGCATTTTTTTTTCTTTTTTTTTGAGGAAGATCAGCCCTGAGCTAACATCCATGCTAATCCTCCTCTTTTTGCTGAGGATGACCAGCTCTGAGCTAACATCTATTGCCAATCCTCCCCCTTTTTTTCCCCCAAAGCCCCAGTAGATAGTTGTATGTCATAGTTGCACATCCTTCTAGTTGCTGTATGTGGGACG